AATAGTCATAGGATGCTAAGTCACCTTTATACAACACTGTCCCCTGGGCATAGTAGCCATTACTATCTTTATCAGATTAGCTATGACTACTTGCAAAAGACTCTCAAGATTGTGCCTGCCAATATTCCCTCATAGGAGGAAGAGGTGGCAAGGGTCATTGACCATCACCTGGGAGTCCAGCCAGTCTACCTTACACCTCCTTTCCAATTAGTTATATGTGATTCTGTGCATGCTCATGGTCTTGGTAGGTGATAGAGTGTATAGAATGGGCAAGGTTTACCAAAGAGAGGCCTTCTGTTATTCAGTTATTAGGAGGCTATCATCCACGTGGGGTAAGACTTTTCAGAGCTGTAATTGCTTTGAGGTTATCTGTGTTTCTATAAGTAACCTTTACCCATACTCTGCAAGTAAGTTCAATAAACTCATGGCTTGTCAAGATGGACTTAGGGAGAATCATTCTTTGGCCTGTTGTTGCTGCCCTGTCTGGGATGAGTAGAGTTCATATCACTCCAAGGGAAAATTCACCTGGCAGTCACACAGAGGTGAGTGATGAATGATTACTTAGAGGGCCAACGACAGCTCAAAATGATTTGGCTCTTAACCTGCAACATTCCAGCTCTCCCAATGATGGAAGTTTAAATTAGTTAACCAGGCTTTCAGACTGTTTAATACAGATATGGCCATTTTATAAATTTTGTATGCATGTGTGCCTATGCACGCATGTTTGTGTGTGTGTGAATGTGAATGTGAGTGTGTGTGTGTGCCATGTGGAGGTCAAAGGACAGTTTCAGGTGTCCTCGCCTTCTACTTTGATTGATTGATTCAGGGCTGCCTATATCAGACCTGTTGGCCTGCAATCTTCTGGAAATTCTCCTGTCTCCACCTCCCATTTCTTTGTATGAGCACTGAGAGACATACTACAGTGTACAACTTTATTGTGGGTTCTGGGGATCTGAACTAAGGTTTACCCATTGAGCTGTGTCCTTAGACCAGGTGTTTTTTTTCTAGCCACTCCAGGCACCTGCATGGACATGGTATAGATACAGACATACATCCAGGAACACAAACATAAATTTTAAAAAACCTTTAAATACTCAAGGCACCCTCTATGGGTCTCCTGACTTCCCCTTGATTGGCTCTCCCTTCTCTATTTTTCTGTCCTTTAACCCCTAGATCCACGAGTCTCCCTCTGTTCTCAGCTCTGTGTCTTTGACCCAGAGAACCCAGTAGAGTCCTGTGAGGTCCTCCTTCCTGTACTGTGTCGTCTTGGGATTTCCCTGAAAACAGGAAGCTGAAGCAATGACGGTTCCATCCTTTTTGTTTGCTGCATCTTCAGCATCACTGTCCCTCACAATGTAAGGTCCCTTGGAACTAAAAACCATTGTCACATGCATTTTGCTCATTTGATGGTTGGCTGATGTGAGAGAGTAAATGCAGCGTTGGCTACTCAGTCTCGGCCTAATAGAAATGAGTTAATCTTTATATGTCTATGCATGTGGAGGTTAGAAGACCCTGTGTGAGTCAGTTCTCTCCTTCTACCATGTAAGTCAAACTCAGGTAGTCAGACTTTGGGGCAAGTGCCTTTATCTGCTGAGTCGTTTTGGTGGTTGTCTTAGTTAGGGTTTCTACTGCTGTGAAGACTCACCATGACCAGGGCAACTCTTATAAAAGGAATCATTTAATTGAGGGTGTGACTTACAGTTTCAGAGGTTTAGTCCATTATCATCATGATGGGATATGGCAGTGTGCAGGCAGGTAAGGTGTTGGAGCTGAGAGTCCTGCATCTTGATCAGCAGGCAACAGGAAGTGAACTGAGATACTGGGTGTGGCTTGAGCATATATGAGACCTCAAAAACTGCCCCCACAGTGACATACTTCCTCCAACAAGGCCATACCTACTCCAACAAAGCCACACCTCCCAATAGTGCTACTCCCTTTGGGGATCATTTTCTTTCAAAACAGCACAGTGGTCTTGCAAATATTCTGATTGGGAAAAAGTAGTAACTTATACATTATACATTTTATCATGTTTGGTTCCTCTGACACACCAGTAAAGTATTTATTTTCACTTTGTAGCCAAGAAAAGAAAAGCTCAGTTGAGTCATTCCTTCCCCCAAGTTTCCATTGCTTTCCTTACACACCATCCAGCCCTGCTAGGATGTGCCTCCTTACATCAGAGCAAGTGGAGAGGACCGTAGGTTGAATTCACTTTTCCTCATCACTAGGATGTGGTCCTGGGCCAGGCTCAGAACTTCTTACAGCTGGTTAGATATACAGACGGTCTGAATGGTAACCCTCATGAGTCAGGAGCGAGGTGATCTGTAATCACTGTAGTTGGGTGTGCATTAAGGAAAACAGTTCCTGGCCTTTGATCTTATGGGCCCAGTCCTGGCTGTCTGAAGTATATACAAGAGCTAAACTGAACTGAGGCATAGCTAGAAACAAGAACCCATGCAGGGTAACCCCTGGTTTCCATACCTCTTCTAATAGCAGCGCAGGGGCCTGCCAAGGCTCCTGGAGAAGCTAATGAGACCAACATCTGTCCTCTGGGAATTTGTCTGTGACTCATCTGCCTTCATCCAACTCCTGAGTGTAGAACTGGCTGGAGGTCAGCTATTATTTCATCCCATTTTTTCTTAAGAGCTACTTGTTTATATATCTGTCTCTCCACCTTCCACAACAGTCTGTGAGCTCCCAGGGACAGGAACTGGGTCTTAATTCAGCATCATGATTTTCCCCAAAGTACCAACTTCAGTGCCAACTCAGGATAGTCTTCGTTTTCATAGAAAATAAATAAAGTCCAAATCTTGCCCTGTATTTAATAATCTTTGCCACAATAAAAGGGAGAATTGTGAACAAAGAGCAAAATAATCCAAGCTACAATCTCTCCTAGTGACAATATAACACAGGCTTATTTGACCTGGACTTTGTTTCCAGTCTCCTCTTCATTGTCTAGCTGTGCCTTGCAGTTACCCAGAGAGCGTGAATCCTGCATGTCATGCCAATAACCAAAGCCACTTATAAATAACTCCACAGTTATTTAACAAATTATTTTTAATCTGATGGGTAAACTTACATCAGTGCAGCTGCTCATGTCAAAGAAAAGGGACAGAGCAAGGGGTGTTTTGGGAGCCTGCTGGGCTTGCTTCATAAAAGAAGGCTTGTTATCTTGTATTATGTCTACAATTGTGATATTTCTACTGGGGTAAGCTGTCACTATCTTGTCTCTGGTGCAATGCGGTAATAAAACCTGAAGAGTGGAGAGCTATCACAGACTCCTCAAGGGGGACAGCTCCCAGAGGAAGGACGGTTCTGGCTCCAATCTCATCTTCCTGCTGAGCTAGGTAGACTTTCTGTACTCTCCTTTCACTGTGTTTCTTTCTTCCAGATAACTTTCTTCCAATGCATAGTATCAGCTACCCTTACCCCTGGTCTATTTGATTTACCTTCCTATGCAGCTTCTATCTGCAGTAAGACTCCCTGGATACAGGGAGTATCATAATTATTCCCACATCTGGAGTCAAGCTTCCTTTAGTCTGCGTCCTTTATCAATCAGGCAATAGCTCAAGTATCACTTTCTTAGAGAAACCCTTATTGACTGTAGCTGTCCTGGCAGAAATGAAGATAATTCAAAAGAGATACTTGTTCCCCTTTGGCTCTTAGACTATTGAAACAATGATCCCCAAGGAATTGGAATTTCCTCCAGAATCTCATATGGAGAGAAGGAAAGTCCTGGTACCAGCCAGAGGAGGAACATATCTCCTGGGAGGAGGTTTCACACAGTTCTGACAACTTATCAGACCACTTTTCAGGAGAGACTGGAGCCCACACTCTGACCACACTCTGACCAAGGCTGCTTAGTTATGCACATCTATTGCCTTCTATTTAAACTTAGGCCTCATGTCGGAACTCCAAAGATGAACTTGGGTGAGGAGTCACTGGACCTCTTTGCTCCTTTTCCCAAAATGGTCACATTAAATAAATTCCCCCTTTCTGCTTTTCACTGTTGCTTTGTTTGTTTGTTTGTTTCTTTTTTTAATGACCTATTGAAGACAGGTGAACCAGCCTCACCTGCTAAGGCTTCCAGGGTCTAGACCCTGACTACAATAACTCAGGTAAGAATTCTACCTTCCTAAAACAGCTTTCCCCATCAGTGGTCCCTCCAGTGCTAGAAGAGTAGATGTCTGGCTTAGTGAAGCCTTCACTGAAGCTCCAGGTGGTATTTGACTTCAAGGACCAGGATGATTCCTGATGATAGCTGTCCAGCCCAGCACCTCAAAGCTAGGAAAGGTGTCCTCAGCACTGTTGCTAGCCCCTGAATATTGGCGTATGTGATCACCACAGCCATCCCAGCAGGCTGAACCCTTCAGAGAGCAAGAAATGGAGACACAGAGAGGATGTTTAGACCCAACTACAATTCCATGTGGTATTAAGATCCCCATTTTACTGGTGATAAACTAAGGTTCCAAGTGATGAGAAAAATATTCCTTTGGTTAAGTCCCTGTGAAGGCTGTGGAGGAGATGGGAGGGGGCAGGAGTCAGCTGGGCTCCTGGCCTCTGTTCTCACTGTCACTTCTGCCTGCCCGGCTTAGCCAGTGGGGCACTTTCCTCCCAGTACTTCTGCGTTTCCCACCCAATGAGTAATTTCTGGTCCTTTCTGGAGAGCTCTTCTTTCATCATTTCCAGTCTCTTTGGGGAGCTCCTTTCTCTCCAGCTGGGCATCAGGGTTAGCACCACGTTTTTGTAAGTATAAGAATTATGCTGGGCAGAGATACTTCCAAGATGGAACACATTGCTAAACAAACAAGAACCAGAATAGAATAATCTTTGTAGAAAATATAGGCAGGTATTTTTGTCATCTTGGGGGAGTGCATGCCTTCTTCAGTAAGTCAAAATATCTAGATGCTATAAACAGCTAGGCTGGCATACTCGACTGTTTAAAAAACAACTCAAATCAACACAAGGCACCACACACACAGAAAGAGGCACAGACATCAGACTTCATCTTTAACAAAGAACGCATGTATTTAATAGACTCAATGAGAATAAAGTCAAAGTAAGACCTCCCCTCCCCCAATTTTTGAAACAGGCAAAGGATGAGGCTGGGGAGATGGTGCAGTGGTTAAAAGTCCATACTGCTCTTTCACAGGACCCAGCTTGTTTCCCAGCACCCACATCTGGTGGCTCACAACCATCTGTAACTCCAGATCCAGGGGATCTGATGCCCTCTTCTGACTCTGTGGGAACCTACCTGCACTCATGTGCACCTATGCTCTCTGACATTAGCAATAAATAAAGAGTAATTTTAGCAAATGGCACTATTTTGAAAACATAAAATTAAGTAAAATTTAAAATCAATTGTATTTATTTCCTTTTGCTTAATGTGGCTACCAGACAGTCTGATTTATGTGTGCATATTTTAGTGGACAGGCTTTCTAGATATGGCTGAGGTAATGCTTGTGGACTATGAAGAGGCGTCAATGGAAACACTCCCTGACCCTTAATTAACAAGGCCCCCATGACTAAGAGTTTTCATTAATCCATCCTGGGATGAGGCTAGGTTAGGAATCTTGGTTGGCCTCTGACCCTGTTGGGTTAAAAATTGGACACATCTCAGCCACTGTTGCCTCCCAGTTTCTCCTTGATGTGACATGGAGGAGTGAGGTCATCACTGAAGCTCCTTGTGTTCTAAGAAAAGTGGGTAGGAAGCTTTCCTAGGCCATCTTTACCATAGTGCATAACGGATGCCAGGCCAGGCTTTTTCTTTTGGGCTACCTACCAGCTCCCAAATCATGACACGGAGACATCTTAGTTTTGAATGCTTGGCCTTAGCTTGTCTCTTTTCTGCCTAGCTCTTTTAACTTAACCTGTTTCTCTTTGTCTACCTTTTGCCTCAGGGCCTTTTACTTTTTTTTTTCCCCTCCTGTGTATCAAACTTTCATCTTGTATCTGCTTCTCATATCTGCTGGCTTCTGGCCCCTGGCATCTTCCTAGTTCTTTCCTCCTTCTCTTGTTTCTCCTCTCAAGCCTAAATTTCTCTTCCTACTTATTCTCTCTGCCTGCTAGCCCTGCCTATTCTTTCTGTCTAGCTATTGGCTATTCATCTCTTTACTAGACCAATCAGGTGCCTTAGGCAGGCAAGGCAAAACAGTTTGCTGCCCATACTCAGATGACTGTATTCCTCGTTGTGTGATTTGTAGAGATCATTCAGTGTAGAACAAAAAGCTGCACCACACCATCTAATGAGAACCATGATGCATGATGCACATCAGACATTCTTCCTCTCATGTAGCAATGCATCTGAAGAAGGTGCAGGGCTTGCACCAGGCTTCTGCTTTTTCTGTATTGCCACCATCAGTGAGTGAATGGCTTTCATCTTCAAGGTTGCCTCTTCCTCAAATTGTTCAGTATTGAAGTTTCAGCCATTATGGGAAACAAGGTAGAGAAAAGAAAAAATAAATCAGCTATTTTCTTCGGAAATTATAACCAGCTACCTTTCTCTGCCCACATTTCCAGAACTAGCTGTTGACTAAACTAGGAATCCTGTGTCTTATTCAGCTTTTGGAAACCTGAGCCAGTGTGACAGTTTCCATTCACCACACTGGGTTTATGTTTGGGGAATACAGCACTGCCTTAGGGCTGGGGTGGAGGCTTCAGTGTATATCAGGGTGTTTATGTTCCATCCCCACCAAGATGACTTGCTCTCTGCACACACTTTCCAATTACCCTCCTACAATTTTTGGCATATGTATGTAGATATGTATGTGCTCGTGTGTTGTGTAGGTGTAACTGTACCTGTGTGCATGTACATGTGGAAGCCAGAGATCAGTCTGGGATGTCATTCTTTAGGATAACATCTACCTTGTTTTGTTTCCTGAGACAGTACTTCTCACTGGCTTGGAAATTGCTGATTTGAATAGACTGGTCAGCAGGAATGTTTGTCTCCATCTCCTCAGTGCTGAGACTATAAGCAGATGCCACTGTACTCAGCTTTTTCATGTGGGTTCTGGGGGAATTAAACTCAGGCCTGTATGCTTTCAAGACAAACACTTTACTGACTGAGCTATCTCTCCAGCTCCCAGCTGTCTTTTTCATGGACTCCACTAAATTCCCCCAAGTCCCTCCCCACAACTCAAATACACACATACCAAGAAAGGAAACGTCTAGAGTTACTGTCTATCAACCCTAACAACCCAACAGAGGTAGATGGTGTCCAGAGTGGTGCCCTCTGTTGTAGATTGACAGCACTCTGTGATCTGTGGAATGGGGGAAGGGTACTTTGTTATGCAAACTGTCCTCTGGGCAACTTCACAAATCAAATATTGGGTCTAATTTTAAAAACCATTTTTCTAACAGAGGTTTTCCATTTAATCCCCCAGAGTTAACAATATGTGATCAGTTTCCCTTAACAAATGACCTCCTTTAACTTCATTAGTTCATAATTAATTTGCTAGCATGTAACCAAGATAATTAACACTCCTCATTAGAGACAGGCAAAAGAGGAGCCTCTTTTTTCATGGTCAAGGCAAACACTGATTAAAATTTGAGCTGTTTCCTAATTTTCCTTACAATTTAATTCAACAAAAGTGGCGATGGATAATTTGTAGTAGTGGTTAAAAAACCTAAATTGGAGAAAAGATGAATGGGTCCTACCATCAAGCACTTCATTACCAGCTCCTGTGTTGGATAATTTTACTTTATTTACTTCAAATACAAAGATGAAGCAAAAGAATTGAGTGACATCTGGCTACTTTTAATGGAGACTTTTAATAGCTGGAATGTCTTTGAACTTGCTAGGAACAAGGCTGGGCTATGGTGAGTGGATCATAGGTAGCAACCATTCTCATAAACATTACCTTTGGAGTGGCCCAACCCACAGTGGTCTACAAAGCCTTTCCCTCTAGTATATTATTTGGTTCCACACAGTTCTGTGATGAAGATAATGAGGAGGAACCAATCTCATTAGCCTTTAAGATGAGAACACAGTCCCAGAGAAGACCGTAGAAGTATTGCTGATGCCGGGAACTGTGCTCCCTGCAGGCTGAGCTCTGCTCTCCATTCTCCTCAAGGCTAAGGCCAATGTCAGGTGATTCAGGCCTTTTGCATCTCTTATGTCTCTCAAGGTCACCTGGACACATTCTCTGAGTAGAACTGAAGAGATCAAGGTGTCCAAGGCACAAAAACGAAGGAAGCCTTCACTGTCACAACCTCAGGTTTTGTATACTGCGAAGTCCAGGTCTGTATCACATACCTGACGTGGTTGAGACTCACCTGTCAGGCCTGTGCTAAGCATTTTAGTGCATCATCTCCTTTCGTTCTCACAACATCATTGGTGATATGGATGTTGACAGCAGCTTCATTCTTAATTCATTACTAGTTCATTTCCTGATGAGGAAAAGATCTCAGAGGGGAAGCACAACTTGTCAAAAGACAAAGCTAGAGGTGACAGCATGGGCCAATGCTCTTCTACTCTTCTGACTGGGGTTTCTGGAAGCAGGCTTGGGGAATGGAAAGGGACCCCACTGCATCATATGGCTTTGGAAGCATGACTTTAGGGTAGGTGGGAAGGGTGGGGCCCACAGGGTGGAAGCCAAGGAACCTCCTTTAATCTCATAGGCAGGTAAGATCCTTCAGAGAACTGGCCTTTTGGCAGTCTCCTAGTCTTAAAGACAGAATGTCATCAAGAGAGTCTGTTTCTCTTCCTGGATTTCCTGATAGGGAATCTTTGCCCAAGGATAGAGGCAGATACAGTGGGCATACTCAGTGGAGCTGGGGCTAGGGCTCAGGTGTAGGGGTTTCAAGCCTTGGGGTCCAGTGGGAGGACACTTTTTATGAGTCCTTCCAGAGCATCTTCTCAACACCAGAGCAAGGAGCATCTGCTCTTTGGGAAGGAAATCTGGAGCAGGAGGTAGGCACTGCAGGGGAGTAGAGGCCCCCGAGGCCATGAACAGCACTCCAAGGAGAGTCAGCCCAGATCCTAGTGTTCAGGTGGGCAAGATCCAGAATCACAGCTGACCCAAGAAGCTGTGATCTATAATTTATACTCAGCTCCTTCCAGAAATTACTGGCAGTATCTGCCAGGGGATTTGTAACTGTGGGTTTTGCTTTGATGATGCTAAGGAGATTTAGGTAGTCCCAGGGGTTAAGTGGTACTGAATTCAGACCATCTGTGAAGCAGCTTCTCATTCAGCAACTGCTCTCATCTTCACAGGCCCACTGTCGAGTCAGATGCTCCTCTCTATGTGACAGATGGAGACATAGGCTCAGAGGCAGAAGTGACTTGCCCAAGGCCCCACACCTTGGGGAAGGCAGAAGTGAAACTCAGAGCTGTTTGGTTGGAGTGGTATCCAAGACTCTTCCATGGAAGCAGATGGTGATAGTGTTGTCCATTTCTTGTCCAAATCTCTTCCAGGCCTGCAGCCATTTTAGGCATGACCCAGCCCTGCAAATTACCCAGATGGTTCTAGCCACCCACTGTTCTCATTCCTATTTCCCTGGGACATGTTCTATGCAAAATGTGGGTCTTGGCTACTCCTGAATAGATTATCACCCATCATACAAAGGAAGGAAGGAATGGGATGGGAAGTGATCATCTTGCACCTACTATGTTTTACACTTACCCCAGGCATAAAGATACTCCTCATCCCTTCAAACGAAGAGTTGGATTATAGATGATGAGGTCCTTAGGAATATTAGCCTGGAACCTAACCATCTGGTTCTAATGTTGGTTTTACCATTAGGTATTTATTGGTCAACTGGAGCTGCCAGACAAATACTATAGATGCCCAAGGTCAAATATAGGCAGGATTGGTTGCTTCTGAAGTCTCTTTGGTTTGCAGATGGCTGTCACTTTACTGTGACCACACATGCTTTACCTCCTATTGTTTCTTCCTCTAATTGAAAAAAATTTTTTATGTGTATGAACATTTTCCCTGTATGGATATCTGTGTACCATGTGTGTGCATTATCTGTGGAGGCCAGAAGAGGGCATTGGATCCCTTGGGACTAGAATTACAGATGGTTGTGGGCTGCCATGTGGGTGCTAGGAATTAAACCTGGGTCCTCTGCAAGAGCAGCCAGTGCTCTTAACCACTGAGCCACCCCTCCTGCCTCTCCTCCTCTTCTTATAAGGACATCAATTACTCTGAGTTAGAGGCTACACTTACAACTTCATGTAACCTTAATTATGTCATAGGCTGTGTCTTCAAATAGTCACACTGGGGTTTAGGGCCTCAATATATGGACATTGAGCTAAGAATAGGGGGCACATAAGTAGATCACAACAAATGACCTTAGCCAAGACCCTCCCTAAATCTTAGTTGCGGTATCTGTTACATGGCAATAATAAAAGCAGCTGGTTTAATGGCATGGTGGCACAAACCTGTTATCCTAGCACTCAGGAGATGTAGGTAGAGGGTCAGAAGTTCCAGATCATTCTTGGATACGTAAAGAATTTGAGGCTAGACTAAACTAAATGAAACGTTGCTTTATTTTTAAAAAGTACATGGTTTATAGTTCTTGAAGAAATTAAATGATACCATACATGTACACCAATGCACATCATACAGCAAGGACTCAGTGAGTTAAGTATCATCACCATTACTACCATCAACACTATCATCATTCCAACTATCACCGTCCCAACCACTATCATCATCATACGAAATGTTATCATCACCGTCATTATGATCGCCACTACCACCATCGTCACTACCTTCATTATCAATCACCAACACCATCACCACCATCACCACAGTCAGTAATACTGTAATTATCAGCAGGACATTATTTTTATCAGTCTAAAGAGAATGACTATAGCCTATAGTACCACTGGTTTCAGACCTCTGGGCTCTGCTATCATTTGTGGTACCAAGTTGTAGTTAGAGAAGACAGAACTGCAAAGATTTTGACCTTAACACCCAAAGCTTATTTTTACAAATGAAGTACCTGAGGCCCAGAGCTAGAATGAAAATGCTGGTATTTTCCTGTTCCTGGTCTGTTGTCACGATGGCTTCAACAGTGTTCAACAGAGCCAGGAGAGCACTCTCATCCCATCCCTGTTGGAGCCATGCATGAAGTATTTGGAAAATACAGTTTGTTTTTCCTCTCCGTGTCTTATGAACTGTTTCTTTTGTGTCTTAGCAGAGTGCCCATCATAGAGTGGATGAATAAAAGCCATTAATTACAAAATCCTTATGCAAGGGACTCCAGTCCAGCCCAACTCTATAAACACAGTCTCTCAGCTTCTGCTGTGATTCCAAGGACAGCCCAACATTTTCATTGACTTATCCTGTCCATGCATCTGTGTCTCCCTGGGAATTTGGACGGAAGCATTAATTCACCAGACTTCTGTCAGAAGGGCATGATGACTCACTTGTCTCAACAGTATAATCT